GATTGGAAACTAATTAAGCACTGATTATTTAATGGGCCAAAAGCCCATTTCGAACTGGGCTGATATGATCACCCACTTAAGGAGCGAATCTGAGATTAAGGTTAGCAAAAGGATTGGGCCTTTAACCTAATCCACTCTAGGAGACCAAATTCAAATCAGATTTGAATATGGTAATCTCCTGATAAGATCAGGAGTAAGCTAACTCTATCTGGGAAAGGGATTAAGATTATCCCCTATCCAAATACTGATTTGGATTGGGATAACTTCTAATTAGGAGATTTCTTAATCAAGAAGAAAAAAGAGGAGAAACCCTAAGAGAGATACAACAGAATTCGAAGTTTGCTGCGAATTGAGATAGGATCTCATACATTCTCCAGAGAGAAGAGAAGCAATTTTCACCATCTTCATCTCAGGAATTCTCTTCCAACCGCCGCCATTTTCTAAAAAGATTGGATCTTTGAAGGGAAGAAATCAAGAAATCAGTTCTTGATATCAGTTTAGCAGAAAGAACTGAAAAGATTTGGTGCTCAGAGTTTCCAAAGGATTCTTGCGAAGGATTCAGTGTGTAGGACGCACTCTGCTGGTTCCGTTCCACATATTGYTRTGTCATCTTCAGYAGGAGYRRATCTTGGTGTCCTCTTTGGGCGTGAACACCAACTTTGGGAGATACTGCTTCTCTGGATCAGGTATAATTCCTCCCTTGTCTTTTGGTTCAGATCTGGTTCGATTATGGTTCAAGTAGGATCCTTGAATATTGCATTCGAAATTTAGGGAATATGATTCCCAGTTGGAAGAAGGTAGGAATTTTTTTTGAAATTCGCCCACCCATTCCACAACCTTTTTGGCATCCATACGATGGAACCTACCATTCTTTCAAAAAGATCCCTAAAAATCTACATAAGCTCTTAATCTTATCCCAGTCCTCCTCCATAGGGGGTCCCAATATTAAGAAATCCACATCTTGTTCTTACAAGCGTTCAAATGCTTTTTGGTACTGCAAAGAACATTCAAGCATAAAGTAGGTGGAGTTCCATTGGGTAGGGACATCTAAACAAACTGATTTCTAACTCATTATTCTCTCTTCAATACATTTTTTGAATTGTTGTAAACATATGGTGAACTTCTAACATACTTCACACTTTCACGGACACGACATATTGAACCTTGAATTTCATCCAACCCTTTCTTCACAATGAGATTCAAAATATGAGTAGCACAATGTACATGAAAGAGATCACCATCCAATAAAAGACTGCTCTTTTCAGTCGATTTTCTTTTTAAAGTTTGAGCGGCAACCTCACTTGAAGATGAATTATCCATAGTTATAGTGCCAAAATTTTCTAAACCCCAAGATAACAAGCATAACTCAATTATGCGTGCAATGGCCTCTCCACTATCTGGAGTTGGAACTGGACGAAAATTAATAACTTTTCTTTGTAAATTCCAACATTATCAATATAATGAGCAGTAAGACACACAAATTCAAGGTTTTGAGCAGAAGTCCAAAGGTTACTGCTCAAACATATTCTTGATGAGCTCTTTATATCTTCTTTCAATTTTTTTCTCTCACTTATATATAATTTCATGCAATCCATAGCTATAGTGGCACGTGACACAAGTTGAAATCTAGGTTGAATGGATCTAACAAAACCTTTAAAACCCTCACGCTCCACAAAACTAAATGGTAGTCCATTAATAATTATCATTCTAGCAAGCGCTTTTTGACAAGCTTCTTGATCAAAAACATCAGAGTCAGATTCAGATTCATATGGCTTCTTACGTTTAGGATCTACCTCAAAAGCAATGTTATTCGTATCTCCTGCAAGTAGTACAACATGGGAAAGAGTAGTAAGTGGTAAGGAATAATTAAGATAAAGCATCAGAAAGAAACCAAATCCATGGCTAATGGTTACAAGAACAAAAAATGCTCATAATAAATGAGCATCCTATAAAACAAAACAAAACTAATCAAACATGTCATGAGAGATGACTGTAGTAAGATTGGTTTATTAGTTCAGACTACAATGTGGTGGCAAAGAAACATATCATGAAAATATGAAACTACTTAACAGCTTTCTAGTGCATAAAGCATGAATCAAATCTTGCTAGTTTGAACTTCAAAAGTGGTGGCAAAGAAACATATCATGAAAATATGAAACTACTTGACTGCTTTCTAGTGCATAAAGCATGAAACAAATCTTGCTAGTTTGAACTCCAAAAGTGGTGGCAAAGAAACAAATCATAAAATTATTCATTTTTCAGTGGTCAAAGAAACAAGAAATTCCATTGCTGAAGAGCATTATCCACTGACTTGGCACCAAGAAGTGGACTCCTTAGTTTGCACCAGTATTGCGGGTTTAGAAAGGCATACATCGAGTATTGGCTCTTTGGGTTTCAAGGTCTTGGAAATGCCTTTGGGCCAGCAGAGAATTTCTATGATGTAGGTTGAGGTAGGGATCCTACTAATTGAAGACCTGGTGGTGTGCTTTATGGGGTGAAGGAAGGGATCTAAGTGATGAAGAAACTGGATGGAAAAGCAAGTGCACAGCTTGCTGTCCACCAAAGAATGAATAAGAAATTAAAAAGAAGGATAAGAACTCTTTCTGTTATGGTAAACAGCAAAGATATAGATCACTAATCACCATGAAGAAGAAATAAGAGAGTGGGAAACAGAAAAATTCCTGGCAACAACCAGAATTCACTAGATCCAAACTTTACTTATCAAATCAACTCTTTCTAAATTGCAATTACAATGACTCAATTTATGAACTCAGATGTCCCTCCACATGGAGACACTTAAATAAGGATCCTAACTCCTTAAAAGCTCTAATAACATTTCCTAACCCTACTAAAATTAATTTAATATAAAAATTCCAGAAGTTACTAAAAATAGTAATTTGTGAGTTTACTATAAATAGTACATCCAAAGATTATCATAAATAGTAAATTCAAAATAACAGTAAATTACTACAGTTTTTTTATCAATAACAAAATTTCATTAATAAATAATAAGTGGTTTACACGAGGGAGGTCAGAGGAGAGGTAACCTTTCTTAACTCTCCTCACCGAAGAAAACAAAATACAGATTACAATTGTGCCCAAAACATTTGATTCCTTCACACCCCTTGTAAATTACTACAAAGTTTGCACCGTATTCTTAAGACACCTACAACCATTGATCAAAATATTGATATGATCATATGATACACCCAAATACGTATGGGTACACCAATACAAACATATTTTAAACCTTTTAAAACCTTGGGATGATAGAAGGCATACCTCTAAACCATTATAAAATTAAAAAAAAAAACTAAAAACAAATATAGAGTATTGGTCATATTGATATGCGCCAATACCCAACTTTGAGTATCAGGCATATCGATATTTTGATCCTTGCCTGTAACTAGAAAATAAATTAGAAAAAGAAAACTCTGACCATGGTAATATCCTATCAGTCTACACCCAAAAATTTGAAATTTGAAATTTTGATTTTGTTTCTCCATGTATTCTTTCCTTGCCTCAGTATCTGCACCATTCTAGACAAGGTCAGATCAAGCTGGGTTTACCATTTAACCCAACCCATTGACATCCCTAATTCTTACAATGTGGACCAAGTGTCAAGTTATGGGGTCTCAAACCCATCGAGCTTTTCTCTATAACATGTCAGAATGTCAGCTTACATGATCTTTGACCATCTTGGTCGGGCATCATCTACTGAGCTGCTGATTTTACATTTCTTTTATCAGTAATGGTCAAAATCTTATTAGTTTATCAGTAAAATAATTCTAGGCATGCAGAAATTTGCCATAGTACCCCTCAATTTGGGCTAGCTACACCCTCCCTCGCTAGTTGATCAGCCACATGATTGGTTTACCTTGCCATCTTTTTAAATGTCCTGAGCTTCATCCCTATAATGCTATGACCCCATGCTATCATTTAAAAGCCATCCTATAGAAATGCGGGATCACCTTACAACATCAAATTTCTGAAATTTAGGTTTAGTCATCTTCAATCCTTGTTGAACTCCCCTATGTTCTTCCCCGTAGAGTCCCCAAACCCCAAGGGCCAGAAAACAATGCTTAAATGTGCCCTATATACTTTCTAAAGCACCTCCTATTTCTGATTCAACCAAATTACCAAAAATGCAGCCATCAAAATTCCACCTTAATAATATTATGAAAAGGTGAAGACTACAAAAAAAGAGCAGCTGTTTTAACCATAAGAGAAGCTTTTCAAAATCAGCAGGTTGTAATCTCCAATGCATATATTTATCCTAGCTTATCTTCTATGTGGGGCCATCTAATCATGGGTTCTGATGCCTGAAATACTGAACAGATAACAAGTCATGGAAACCTAAGATTCAATGTTCAGCTCATGTGTTCTACATCCAAGATTAATATTTTATCAACAACACATAAATTCATTCATTCATTAATATAAGAAAGAAAGATTACAACCAGAAGTTGTGAAAACACTCTCCAACCCGAAACAAGACAGACCAACCCAGTTGAATTACAGCCTATATGCTAAATTATTAGCAGATCTCCTAACCCACTTGATTTGAATTGTCATATCTCTTGAAAGCCATTTGAAGCGCCTGAATTCATTCCTAAGCTTCTAGATCACCCCCTCACCTTTCTTTAGCCACCCCACTACCAACTTCAGATCACCTTCAAGAACCAATCTTCCAATTCCCATATCTGTAGCCATCTTAACCCCAAACACTGCAGCAAAGAATTCTGCACTTAAAGAGTCACCTTGCTCAATTGGGCTTGAAAACAAAGCTTACATAATGCCACCCTCATCTCTTATCACCCCTCCAATTCCTAATGGGCCTAGATTGCCCAGACTACTCCCATCAAAGCTCAATTTTAACCACCCGCCCGTTGGGGGAGACCACACCTCAAGGGGTTTTTGTTTCCTAGAGGAAGATCTAACAATAGCCCCCCTAACTCTTGAAGAAATCTCCCACCTTAAAGTCAGCAAACAACTTCAGTGTCTTCACCCAAAAATCTATTCTTAGTGTTATGACTTCTATCAACATCTCCTTGTTTCTCTCCTTCTCCTTAAAAATTATTGAGTTTCTTTCTTCCCAAACTATCCAAATCACCGCTTCCCAAGTGCAGCTCCACGGAATCCTGCTTCTGTGGATGAACAACTCAACACAGAAGGGCTAAACAACCTTTCCAAGCTTGCCAGAGGATTCCACCTGAAACCAAAAAGATAAACGAACCATTCCCAGATACAGAAAACAAAGGGACAGGAGTTTAAGAGATGGAAAGCAGTCTCACCGTGCAGCTTACATAAAAAAACACCAGTTGGGAGATAAGGCCCAGTTCGGTCTTTTCTTCTGCAACAAATCATAAGTGTTAATGCTACCATGGAGGACTTCCCAACAAAGAACTGACCTTAGAGGGAATAGGGAAGCACCAAACTTCTTTTACAGGGAAGGAGGGAGGAGAATTAATGGCAATAAGGACCTTGAAAAAGGATTTACAAGAGAACACCCCCAGCATTATTAAGGGCCTACACGTGATTCCTATTGAGACCCCTAATATTCCTAGACAAACTAGACAAAGAGAAAATTTTCGACTCCCTAAGATTCCTATTGAGACCCAAATTCCAATTCAGCTCATAATGCTAGGGGTGGGACCGTGTGAGAGAAGAAAATCAAACGTTGGCTTTCCATTGAGATTAGAGAGAACAAATAGGGAGGGATAAGCATCTTTCAAAGGGGACTCCCCAATCTAGACATCTTCCTAAAATCTTATCTTCAAACCAGAAGCCAAATCACACCTCACATGATTAAGAGAGGAAGGAAACCATGAATAGATTTCCAACGTGCAGCAAGAGTAGCTCTATGCAGACAACCAGCATCCCATCCATTGCTTGAAAGCCCATGAAGACTAGCCACCACCTTATGCCATAGCCTTTCATTTTCCCCCGGAAATCACCACAACCTCTTACTCAAGAGAGCCAAGTTTTTCAAACTGACATTACCAATTCCCAAACCCTCCTTCCTTTCTTTTAGTCACCTTTTCCCATCGGACTAAGTCATCTTTTTTCCTTTCCCCCGGTTCCCACAAAAAGTCCCTCATCAACTTCTCTATCTTTTTTACAACTACTTGGGGCATTCTGAAGACTAACATGAAATAGATTGGGAGGTTAGCTAAAGTGGATTTAATCAAAGTAATCCTCCCACCTAGAGAAATATAATTCCTTTTCCACCCAACTAATCTCTTCTCAAACCCCTCAACCACCGGATTCCAAAAACTAACCAATCTAGGGTTATCACCTAGGGGTAGTCCTAAGTACTTTAAAGGCCACTCCCCCCTCTCGCACCCCAAAGTCTTAGCCAAGGAAATCAGCACCCCTTCTTCAAGATTGATACCTGCCACCAAACTCATCCCAATTAATAATCAGGTTGGAGACTCTCTCAAAAAGGCTAACTACCAACTTCGGGTTTACAATCCCTTCTCTATTCTCCCCATCACAAAAGATCAGAATGCCATCTGCAAACTGAAGGTGAGTCACCAAAACTCTATCTCTTCCCACTGTCCAACCACTGAACAACTGCAAACGATTGGCTCTTGAGATCAGTCTACTAAAAACCTCAGCCACCAAAATAAACAGAAAAGGTGAAAGAGGATCCCCTTGTCTTAGACTTTGAATCCCCTCAAAAAAATCAACCACTGACCCATTAACATTGACTGAGAAATGACTTATCCTAAGGTTAAATCTAGGTCTGCAGACATAGGTATGGGGCACCCATACCTTGCTTCTTTGTGTAATGTCAACATTAGGACCCACACCAAGAGATGTAGGTCCTACTTAGTAGATCAGTTAAACCAGAAATTGGAACGCTTTAGAAATTATAGCTAACTGATTTTGTTACATTAAATAAAACGGTAAAGAAAATTGATAAATTGATTGATCTTTCAATTCCATTGGTAGGGAAGCCTATAGTCTTTAATTTTTGCTTTAATGTCCTCCATTGCTACTTGTCCGTTTATTGCAAACCAATCAAGTCATCTGAATCTCTTTAACTGGTTGCTGATATTAAGAGAACCAGAAAGAGAAAAAGGTTATCTTAGTCTCATTACAAACTTCAATTTTCAGGATGGCCAAGTTAGTTTTTTATATTTTTTATCTATTACAAAAATGATATAATAATATTCCAAAATGAACCATGCCAAACACCCCTAATTATAAGCTAGCAATAGCTACCTAAACAAACCTATAATTCTTTTTTTCAACCCAACTCCTAGGAGCAGTCACCAAAACAATTGTTTATGCTTTTTTTCTGATAAAACAATTGTTTTCTGTTTACCCCGGTCAAACTAGAAATTTACTCATCATTTATGCTTTAAGTTCCTGCATTCTCTTACTACAAAGTGTAACTTCCTTGAGCATGATTTGTACTAAACTAAGATGGCTAAGACTTCACTAATGTACCTCCACTTTTCCATGCCATCATAGAAACTGTATGTAAATGGAAATGGCCATGCAGCAAGTCTTAATTCCAGTACCGGTAGCTGCAGCAACTAGTACACTGTACCACCTTATCATTTGCCTTTGCTAATTGCTAAATGGATTCTATCCATCCTTCAAATCTAGACTTAGAAAGAATTGATCCTTCAAACTGTTGATAATTCCCTCTGCCCACATGGCATAATTTCATGGTGGTAAGCCAAACTTGAAAAGTACATATAAAACCAATAAATAGATCTTTAAACAGTCTAAGAAATAGAAAACAATGAAGTTTCTGATTACCATTCGAAATTAAGCATAGGTTTTAGAAAGATGAGAAAAAGAGATGAAGAAAAACTTACCTTAGGAAACTCAGAATAAAAGAGCTTGCTGAAGGGGATGTGAGAACAACAAAAGGTGAGCTTGTGAGGAGGTTGAGATCTTGAGAATCAAGAAGGTTGAGAGCCTGCCAGTTGAGACTTGAGAGGGATAGCAACTGAGCATGAGACTCTCCGAATCTCCTTATTGACAACTGAGAATGAGTGATTTCTAAATCTCATTAGGGTTCCGTTTTACAGAAATTGGGAAACCAAAAAAGACCATTTGATCAGTTAGACTGTAGTTTGTATGAGCAAGGAGGAAGGTGGCTCGGGATTGGAAGACTGCTGCTCAAGAATGCATATCTCTAAAGGAAATGATTATGGTGATCCCTTTGGCGTTTGGCAATGGAATGCTGTCATAAAGAAGTCTTCACAGGTGGATGCCTAACAAATAGAAACCAGGATGCCAGTTCATCCAATAGTTCGGCAATGGCATGCTGTCATAAGGAGTTTGTTGCCATCCTTCTTTAATTTCTTTCTTTTATAAGGTGCTTCTTCTGGGGATAGGACCTTATTTTGGAAAGACCTCTGGTGGGGAAACTTGCCTCTTATGCATAGTTTCCCTAGTCTGTATTCCCTCTTTTCTAATAGTACTTAACCATTTCATATCTCTCTTTTTGATTCTAGGCTTGCTTTGGACCTAGGGTTTACAAGTCTTTGCAATTCCCCTGCCTTTTGAATACTCTAAAATCTCATATTCATGAGCCAAAAGGTTGAAAACCCTGAAAGTTTCTTTTTTGGTAGATGTAAGCATAATGTCATCAAGTATGTTGTGAGATAGTCATTATTCACATGATACTTTTCAACCATGAAACCATCTACAAGACACACTATTTAGGGTTTCATGGTTCAAAACACAACTACACCACAAGTTACAGAACACAAGTGGGTTGCATGGTTCAAAACATAGGTTTTCACTTTGAGAATAGTGCAACCCAATGTTCTCACTTTTTTTGAACACTCTCCTAATACCACCTTAGCAATTGATTTGGGGAAGAGAAATATTATAATACGATAAAGGCATACTCCCCATCCCTTCTCTTGTGGTGCTATGCAAACGAATTTGCAGATTTTGAGATCAACATGAATAAGCTGTACATCAAGGAAGCAATGGCCTCATTTCCCTTATAGAATGGCAAGACATGCCATGGACCGTCAAATGAAGAGCATTTCCATCCTTTGGATACTACAAAGTTATTGTAGCACAACTTTGGATCCATTGGTAGCAGAGTTCAACAGAAGTTGAAGTACCACTTCTACCTGTTCTAACACCATGACCAGCATTTTGCTGAATCACTCCCTTTTAATGGATAATCAAACCAAAATATTGGCAATGGTCGACTTGGAGTATCTCTTGGCTATTGGTCCTAAGCTTAAAATACAATCCATATATTTTTCTTCTGCTAGCTTACAAACTTGAATTTAAAGCATATATGGGAGCTCTGGGCTCACATTTAACCCCTCTCTAGACTCGTCAAACAGCTGATCAAGATTAACCATACACCAAAGGCTCAAGGGACCTCCTCAAGCAGAGGCCTTGTAAACAGTCCAATCCATTCCTTGCACACTCCTATGCACAGTACATGCCTCGTGAGTTGGATTATGTAGACTATATCGATGAAACATATCTGGCTACAATCCAGTTCAATAAAAATCCGCAAATTCAGAAATACTTAAACTAAGTAAGCATTATACAACCAGCTAATATCGACCAAGCGTCACGGTATTTCAATCATTAGCTACAACAGCTTGCAAAAAGAATCACAGATAGAATGTATCAAACAAAAATCACAGATATAATGTATCAAACACACCCCTCCCCTCCTTTTGATTTAATATATAACTTCTCGTTATCTGTTCTCAAAAAAAAAAAAAGCCCAAGCACTAATCAACATCCAATGGCCTCCCGCCAATGCTAACTAAACCTGGGTTTTCTGAAGATGCAATGTTGAACATTATTCTCGAGTATGATTTTTCGCATGGCATGTCCTAAGATTTTTACAAATATAATAATAAAAATAATAATAACCTCTATTCGACACAACTGAACCGTTATTTTACTGAGAAACTAAAACCACTATTGATTTCACAAGGTCCAGAGTCCGGTGAGTACGGCTTCGACAAATATCGCAAACCTGCATCGGCGTCTTCAGCGGTTGGAGAAGGCGGAGACTTGAACGAGATAGAATTCTCAAAAGATCCATGCTCCGCCATCCAGTTAATGGAATAGCTGCTGGCGTTGTTGCCTTCTGGTTCCATTGTTACTCCTTTCTCACTTCACACTTCACAGTTGCATTCGGACTTTCGAAATTAAAACAAGAGAACCCTATGATGACTAAACGGTTTATTCGGTTAAAACCGAACCGAATAAACCGAAATTTCAAGATATTGAAAAACTAAAAAAACTAAAACTTTCCCCTGAATCATCTTCTAATCTATCTCACATTAAACCACCTAATTCTAATCTCTCTTTCTTACACCTTATCTCTATCTAAAATACTAATAAGATGAATAAAAAATATTTAAAATACAAATAAGAAAATAGTAAATAATAATATAAGACAAATAATAAACCTAATAATAAAAAAATTATTATGATTATGAATAATAATCTCATATTGTCATTATAAAATTTTAATAATTAATTATAATAATTTTAGAATTATAAAGTAATAAAATTTAATTTCAATTTAAAAATGATTTACATAATAGAATATTCAAAATAAATTACTTTTTAATTTTAAAAATAATATTATACTAATTTATAATAAAAATTCTAACATTATTAAAAATTTTAAACAGTAATAAACTTAGCATAATATCATAACTTAAATTACGCATCAATAAAAATTCACTAAATCAATTAAAAGTTTAATAAAAGTAAAAATTATTAATTTAAAATCAATTTAAAGTCAAATTTAAAATAATGAAAAGCAAAATACAATAAGATGGATTCAATATGAGTTTGCCTTCACCTTGCCTAGTCCCCTCATTTTGCCACATCATCGGGCTCTTGGCCTTTGGTCGTGTCACCCTACCTCCCATTTCATTGTCGTAACAAAGGCAAAAACTTCACAAACATTAAATGTATAGGATAATTACAATAATTAAAATATCAATTTATTTTAATATTTTTATTAATTAATTATTCACAAATACAAATTTTTTTGAAAAATAATTTATTTATATCAATAATTATTACCTAATGTTTTTGTAATTTTCAGATAATTATTTATTTTTAAAATTTCAATAATTATTTTTTGGTAATTTTAAAAAATTTTCTATTTTGAAAATTAATAAAAATTGTTTATTGATATATTCATTTACATTAGTTTTTGACATATGCTAAATATTAAATTGGAAAATTATCGAGGATTTTTAAATATATTTATAATTTCCATAATTATTCAAAAATGTTAATATTTTTTGAAAATTATTAAATTGGAAAATTATTGGGAAATTTTAATATTGATAATTTATATTTTGTAATTATTAATAATTTTCATAATTGTCGGTAGATTATGTTTTGGTTGAGTAAGGGTAGATTAGTCTTTTCATTATGTTTTAAGTTATGTGATAATGTGGCAATTCTATTTTAGCTTTTTTAGTTCACTTGTCCCTAGTAGGGTTAATCTCTCTAGTTTGGCAGCTTCCTCTTCTTCTTCTTCTTCTTCTTCTTCTTCTCTCTCTCTCTCTCTCTCTCTCTAAACAGGACTTTTCTGAACCATTAAAGCATGGTATCAAAGCAATGAATACAGGAGAAGAAGGTTGTGGTTTCAAGTACCTGTACAGTTGTACCTACGATCTCCTCTTCTTCTTTTCTTTTTTTTCTGGGTTGCGATCTATGGTGCACAAGTAAAAGGTTGCGGCAAGTTTTTTTGGTAATCCAGGACTGTCGCAATCTTCATTACAGGTGTTAGGAAGGTGCGACAGCCCTAGGTTAGTAGTTCTAATACTATTGTCACCATGAGTGACAGCCCTAGTGGTCGTGTGGTGGTGTTTGTGGTGTTCCAGACCCTCTACTGAGCAGTTTCAAGAGGGTTCTTGGTGGTTGTTGAGTAATAGTCATGGTGGTTGGTTATTAGTAGTGGTGTGAAAAAAAATGGGGCTGAAAGAGTGGCCAAATGAGTATGAATGGTGGTTTACATCAAGCTCTTTGATTGTGGTTGGTTGAGATATTGTTGTAAGTGATGTGGAGACTGTTGTAGTGTTGACTTGGCAGTAGTATATTTTTAGTGGTTGATAATTCAGAATTAGAAATTGTATTGGGAAACGCAATGGCAGCAACTAGAGATGGTGGTAGTGATCAGAAATCTGGTGTGATTATCCCCTCAAACTATCTAGGTTTGCAGATGACATCAATTAAACCTAATGGTGAAAATTATGTGCCATGGGCCAAGTTAGTGGAAGTTTTTCTCAAGGCGAAGAAGAAGGTGAAACATGTGAAGGAGGATAAACCATCAGCTGAATCTCTAGGGTTTGATGACTATAAACAAGAAGATGCCCAAATCATGACATGATTGTGGAACACTATGGAACCCAAGATGTGTCAACTTTATGTTCTTAGATGTAGCCAAGGAAATATGGGAACATGCCAAGAAACTTTATTTTGGACAAGATAATACTACAAGAGTATATCAGCTCTATTAGGAGTATTTCAATTTGTAGCAAGGAAATCAAACCCTATAAGAATATTATGTCAGTATGAGAAACCTCAGATATGAACTCAATGTCTATCGTCCCCTAACTCCATATGTTAAAATTCAACAACAACAAAGAGAGCAACTGGATGTAACCAGATTCTTAGTGGGGCTGAAATCAGAGTATGAATCAGTTAGAGCACAAATATTAGGAGGTTCTGCTCTTCCTACACTTGAGGAAGTATTTGCTTGGCTTCGTAGGATCTCATTGGGACCCACAAAGGATACTACAGCATCTGATAGATCAGTGTTTGTTGCAACGAGAGGAGGTGGACGTGGTAATAGAGGGGGAGGACATGCATTTCGAGGAGGCAGTGGTGGTCCCATGTTTGGTCATCGTGGTGGAAGTGGTGGAGGTCGTAACTCAAGGGGAGGTCATGGTAGAGGAAGAGGGAACACTACTAGAAAGTGTACACATTGTGGTAAAAATGGACATACGATTAATTTCTATTATGATCTACATGACCCACCCTCTACATGGGCTAATCATGTGGTTGCTAGTGGGGGTGATGTGAGTGATAACCAACAGACATATCAAACACCTTCCATGTCTACTTCTGCTTTCGGGAAGGAGATGATGAGTATGAGAGATTCCTTCAAGCCACTTCACAACATACCACTGCTACTCTTGCACACTCAGGTATGGCCTGTCTGGCATCCAAGCCTTCTCCCTAGGTTATTGATTCTAGATCCTCTGATCACATGATCGGGACTCCAAGTGTGTTTTCTTCCCTCTCTAAAACTTCTACATCACACACTGTTACCATAGCCAAGGGTTCTTCTTCCCCCATTTGTGGTGTTGGTAGGGTGTCCACGAGCCGAGCTTCTCACGAGCTATTCGAGCTCAGCTTGGGAAAAGCTCAACTCGACTCGGTTTAAACCGAGCTTCAAGCTGAGCTCAAGCTTGATACATAGGCTTGTTTTCTAACCGAGCTAAGCTCAAGCTCAATGAAGCTCGGCTCATGAGGCTTGTGAGCCTAGTATAATAAATAAATAATTTTTTATTATATACATACATACATGCATACATACATATACATATGCATATGCATATAAATATATTGATATATATATAAATAAATAATTTTTAATATATATATAATAATAATAATTTTATTTTTTATGTATAATAGTAAATAATTTTTATAATTCTTATTTTTTTGCATGTAAAACAAAAACAAATTTCATATGTATATTTTTTATTTTTTATATATAATAATAAATAATTTTTATAATTCTTATTTTGTTATATATAAAATAAAAATATTTTTATATGTATAATTTTTAATTTTTAGAAAAAAACTTGGCTTGTAGTCGAGCTCGAGTTGAGCCAAGCTTGAACTTGCGACCTTTAAACCGAGTCGAGCTCAAGCTCGAGCCTAAGACTATTTCAGCAAGTCGAGCTTGAATAGCCAAGTATTCAACTTGGCTCAGCTCGAATCCACCCCTAGGTGTTGGTAATGTTGACATTGCATCTCTTTCTTTGTCATATGTTATATATGTGCCTAAATTTCCATTCAACCTCATGTCATTTAGTAAATTAACTAAGGCCCTTAATTGCTCTATCACATTTTATCATTCATCTTGTGTTTTTCAAGATCTAAAGATGGGGAAGAACATTGGTGGAGGGAATGAGGCTAGTGGATTGTATTATCTTTATGGTGGTAGATCTTCAGTTGCACTTCAAACTTCCTTAACTCCTCTCCAATGGCATTGCCGGTTGGGACATTCATCTCTCAAGGCACTCAAGCTAGTAGTTCATTCTTTGAGTCATTTGTCTTCTTTATAGTGTGAATCATGTCAGTATGGGAAACACCATCGAGTTTCCTTCAGTCCTAGGGTTGATAGTTGTATGTTCAGTCATTTTGCTTTAATCCATTTAGATGTTTGGGGTCTTATTAAAATTGATACCTATAATGGTTACAAGTATTCTGTCATTTTTATTGATGATTGTTCAAGGATGACATTGATTTATTAAATGAAAAAAATGAGTGAATTGTTTTCTATTTTTCAAAAATCCCATGCTGAAATACGTACACAATTTGGCATTCCAATAAAAGTTCTTCGTTTAGATAATGGTCACGAATACTTTCTTACTTCCTTTCAACATTATTTGGAACAACATGGCATCATTCATCAGACTTCGTGTGCATCCACCCCTCAACAAAATGGAGTGGTTGAACAAAAAAACCGTCATCTTCTTGAGACTGCTCAATCTATTCTTCATCATATAGACATTCCTAAATGTTTTTGGAGTGGTGTTATGCTTATTGCTTATTTCCTTATTAATCAGATGCCCTCCTTCATCTTTCACGGTTAGTCTCCCTTTTCTATTTTGTTCCCCAATTTGTCTCCCTTTTCATTAACTCCCTGGGTCTTTGGGTGTATGTGCTTTGTTCACAATCTGAGCCCTAATTTAGACAAGCTGGATGCATGCTCTATTAAGTGTATCTTTCTTGGCTATTCTCAGACCTAGAAAGAGTATAAGTGTTACAATCCTATCACTTGGAAGTCATTTGTCTACCCTAATGTCACCTTTTTTTAGTCCATACCATTCTTCTCAGGGCCTGATGTATCGTCCTCTCCACCATTGATCCCTCTTCCT